TCAAGTCACCCTTTATTTACATGTGCATCGTACATGATACTGAACCAACTAGTTCAGAGCCAGCTCCTAGAGTATGCAGAACCCCTGACACTCCAGTTCTTATCTGTCAGCCAGGGTTTCCTGATTGGACTAGGTTAACAGCCCAATCAGGGAACTCATATTTCTAGGAGATCCATCTAGCTGACCTTGCTACAAACACTACAATGATGCTATCGTGAACATGTCTCATAAAGACAGACTGCATAGTGTCTGTGAGACATAACGCAATGGTAGGAGGTGTTGCTTTTTGAATGAGCTGTTAAATAAATGCTCTATTTAGCTGTTGAGGTGAATGTAACAGATCGATTATCCCCAGTGCACTAATATTTATTCCTCAAGATGTTCAATGACTGTGAAAAGCAACATATAATGCAAGCCTGTAGAGTCATAGAGTTGTACAGCATGGAAACAAACTTTTCGGCCCAACTGGTTCATGCCAACCAGATTTCATAAATTAAGCTAGTCCCATTTGCCAGCATTTGGCCTACGTCCCTCTAAACCCTTCCTATTCATGTATCCATCCAGATGCCTTTTAAATGTTGTCATTGTATCAGCCTCCACCACTTTCTCTGGCTGCTTATTCCACACACGCACCACCCTCTGAGTGAAAAGGTTTACCATAAGGTCCTTTTTTTAAATCATTCCCCTCTCACCTCAAACCTATGATCTCTAGTTTTAGACTCCCCTACCCTGGGAAAAAGACCTTGGCTATTCCCCCTTTCCACGCATCCCCCCCCCCCATTGATTTTATAAACCCTTCAGCTTCCGATTCTCAAGGGAAAATAGGCCTAGCCTATTCAGCCTATCCCTTTGCTCAAACCTCCCCAATCTCAGCAACATCCTTGTAAATCTTATCTGCATGCTTTCAAGTTTAACAACATCTTTCCTATTGCAGGGAAACCAGAACTGAGTGCAGTCTTCCAAATGTGGCCTAATCAATGTTTTGTACAACTGCAACATGACATCCCAACTCCTAAGCTCAATGCACTGACCAATAAAGGCCAGTTTACCAAATACCTTCTTCACTACACTGTCTGGCTGTGACGTCACCTTAAAGAAACTATGTACCTGCACGCCGAGGCCTCTTTGTTTGGCATCATTTCCCAGGATCCTACCATTAAGTGCATAAGCTCTTTTTTTAAACAGAGCACTGGCTCTTAGTTGTCTTCACTAGACATGGGTTTTCAGGTATTTATTGCAACTCCAATGCTGTGATGCCAGTTGAGTTCTCTGTTCCCGGACATCACTGAATAAACCTAGAATTCAGTTCCACAACCAATAGCAAATCTTTTAGCTGAGCAATGGAAACAGCCCACCTTGCATGTCATATCTCACAGGTCAAGAGCCACTTATCTGGATCACTCAGTTCCATATCCATTCAACACTGATCTCATATCTTCCTCCACAGTCATATGTCTAGAACTGAACCTGATCAAAAGAGGAATTCATTTAAAGTAAGGAAGTGCTGCAAATGCTAGAGATCTGAAACAAGAGGAACAAAACTGTAAATACTGCCCACTCTAGGTTCAGTTTTTGAAAGAAAAGAAGCATAATATTCAAAGGAACCTCTTCATCAAAAAGGATGAATCCACCTACTAGAAGGGTTAATTTCTTTCAGGTACTGACTTTCCTGCCACATGCTTCCATCTAGTTTAATTCATGTACAACTTTGATTTAAACAACTACTGTAGACAAAATGTGAAGTTCAGAATCTCGAAGTGTAAAGGTTCTAATTGCTTAAAAAGTACATTTGTAGATTCAAGATTCTAATAGGGATAAGAGTCTGGCAACGTGTGAATGCTCATGGTGGTTTTGCAGGAGCTGCTTAGTAGCTGGAGTCTATACAGAATACGGTCAGTGGTTCTCTGTCTTGCAGAAATAGAACCTTCTGGCAGTCTCAGATAGCACCTTAATAACCTCATACAGGAAGCTTCAGTCAACTCTGGGTTATGATGCCTTCCTATCACCAATGTGTTCACCGATCAGATAACTGCAAAGCAAACCTCAACAAAATCAAGCACCTTCCCTATGATGACTACTCTACAAAAAATGAAAGCTGGGAGTGAAAATGACACATTTAACTTTTGAAGAACCATCAAAATGCGCAATTATCATAGTCACATGACACCACTTCAGCATCAGTGACAATATTATTCGACAATTTGATATGGTCACAATATCATTTAAATCCCAGGCAATACTTTAACATTCATGTGTAGTATGTACATTTAGAAACAAAAGGAAGATAGAACTCATATTTAGAATTTATTTTCATGTCCTCATAATGTCCCAATGTGCTTCACGGCAAACGAATTGATTCTGAAGTATAGTTGCTGTTATTTAAATGGGTAAGAGTGGCAGTCAGTTTTCACACAGCAGGGTCATATCTTCAGCAATAAAATGAGTGGTCAGTTAATCTGTTTTGATGATTTTATCAGAGGGATAATTGTTAGTCAGGACAAAGTGCTCCCTGATCTTCTAACGAAATGCCTCAGAAGTCCATATAAAGAGGCAAACAAGACCTATAGACATCAACTCTGAACTATCAGTCTAACTTAGTTGAAGTCCTAGAGTTGGACTTGAACCCACAGACTTAAAAAATGTTGGCTATGAATTACTTCCAAAGAATAAACTCTGAAGGAGAATCATATTCAACTTGAACATTAACTGCTGTTTCTGTTTCCATAGACACAGCCAGACGTGCTGAGCATTTTCAATACTTTGTTTTTATTCAGATTTCCAGCATCTGCAGAGTTTTGCTTCTATGAATTATTTCAGCTGAGTAAGGGAATACATTGACAAGGTCCAGATTCTCAATAAATAAACAAAGAATAAAACTCTACCCTCCCCCAATCACTTTCTAATACATTTCTAACTCTTCCCAATGCTGATGAAAAGCCATTGGCCTGGACAGTACATTGTTTTCTCTCTCCACAGATGCTGCATAATCTGCTGATTACTTCCAGCATGTTTGGTTCTCATTGATAATGTTACTAATTGATAAAGTTGCATTGAATGGAGGAGTGCAGATGCTCTTTTTGCAACTTTCCAGTATCTCAAACTAGCAATGTTTGGGGAAGCATGAAAAGTTGTGAGGGAGGGGCAATATTGTTTGCAAACCATTGAATTGTTATCCACAAATTTAGATAAGCAGATGTATTTGGTGGGATTGATATATGGGCTTGCAGTCGCCTATTGCTCAGAGTACAATTTAGGAGAACGTATCCTGCAAATAAATGCTTTGTATTTTTTAATCACATTGTCCTCAACTCTAGTCTTGGGTGATTCAATGTTAGGAAGCTATCCCCCGATCAGAGTGCAAATGAATGATTTTCTTATGAATAGCTCAATGCAAGAAGCCATAATGGGAACAAGCTGAACTAGTTCCCTCATATAGGTTGTGGTGAACATGGCCAGAATTGATTAAAAAAAATGTGATTTTGCTAAGAATGTAGGCGCCCAATTTAAGATAAAAACCGAAAGAACTGTGGATGCTGTAAATCAGGAATAAAAACAAAGTTGCTGGAGAAGCTCAGCAGGTCTGGCAGCATCTGTGAAGGAAAAATCAGAGTTAACGTTTCAGGTCCAGTGACCCTTCCTCAGAACCGGACCTGAAACGTTAACTCTGATTTTTCCTTCACAGATGCTGCCAGACCTGCTGAGCTTCTCCAGCAACTTTGTTTTTGTCCCCAGTTTAAGATGTCTAGGCAGCAACCAAAAGTCTGATATTACCAAGTGCACCCTTCTCCCAATGCAGGCAGCTATCATGAAGGCTGCATTGCAATCACAAAACACCATGCATTCAGTCCATAGCAGTGCAAGAATAGCATTAGAATTCTAATAGGCACATTAGAAATGAAATGCTGTATTTGAAACACTTAAAAAAATGTTCTTCCCAACTAAAAGTAATTAAGAATTGCAAAATATTGTAAAATATTTATTAGTATGGCACATAACTGATAAAAAAAAAGAAATGTATGCCTGCTTCCATTTAGCAGCTCACTCCCTTGATCCTATTTCAAAAACAGTTGCTGCAAGAAAAAAGAAAAGAAAATGGCCTCCAGGCCTGCTATTCTTTAATCTCCTATCCCAGTTATAAAAATGCTGTCAATGCACAGAACCAAAGATCTTTCTCCATCATCCAACACCATGAAAAATATTGAATATAAAAATTACCATGCTAAATTGGGCTAACTCACCATAGGAATATATGAAAATGCAAAGCAAATTCGAGGTCTATTACTGTTCTATTACCAGAGGAAACCTGTTTCCTTCCTGACATAACTGTATCTGACCATTAGTGTTTTACATTGCCACTGATGCTGCAAGGTGTAAATATATTCCATACAGAACCAGGTTGTGGTTTGCAGTTTTAGAGAACACAATTGCGAAGCTGAATATTCTTTTTGAGTTGTAGTTTTAACAATTTTAATAAAATACAAATACAACCTGCATGTTCAGTTCCAAAAGGGATTGTCTGCTTAAAGTGTGGATGTTGCAAGGACCATGAATGAACTACACTTCCCAAAGTGGACAATAAGAGCATTAGTAAATGTTGAAACTTGTTAACAACTTAAACAGTCTCCAGGTTGAAACAGGGATCTCAGTTGCTTTTGTGGTGTGGTGGTTTAACAGACAAAAATTATACATCCGCTTCACCAGAGGTTTTGGTTGTGCTGTGTACTTATGTGTTGGTTCAGATATGTTTAGGTACAAAAAGCCGAAGTTGATTTAAAGAAGAAAAACATCGATTGCTCATTTTGTGCAACTTTTGGTTTGCATTTTACCAAAAACTTCCCTAGTTATTGACGGCCTCTCTTATACTTCACGATTTATCGGTACGAGTCTGTTGCATCTTGCAAGGTAGCTTACATCACAACTTCCTGATTTAAGAAAGAAAGTCTGGTCATTTTTAACAAGAGAGGAAAAAACACTACTGCCTCTTTTTTTTTGTCACACAGGCAAAGGTTTGCAGCTGGGATGAGTGGAAGCATCTCACATTTGGACTTGAGCAGTCCCTGTTCGCAACAGCAAATCTCAACTTCACAAGACTCTGCAATATTCAACTCAGAAGAATCCACCAGTAGCATAGACTCAGACTGCAGGATCTATGTTAATCTGGGTAAGATCTGGCTAAATTAAAAATAGAAGTCTTGTATAGTGTAATCTATTCCTTTAGCAACACTGCGGGGCTGTATGAGAAGGTATCAACTGGGGAAGGATAAAGGTGAACAAGACGTTGAAATGTGATTTTTAATTTAACAAATGAGTTCCGTTCTTAAATTGCTCTTTAATTAACTACAGGTTTTCTTTGATCATTGCAGTATCAGTTGGCATGAGTGCAGGTTATCAGCTAACACAGTGAAATGAACAATTTTCACTCCTAAGTTTTCAATACCTGTATAAATGTTAAAGTGGTCTGTAACTAATCAGAAATAATTAACTTGAAGAACTTAGTTAACAGAAAGCAAATAACTGGTTGTTTATCTCGTAAGGCAGTTCTCCTATGTTATGCGCTGTATTATGTGAAATTGGGAACCTATACAGAGATTATTGAGAAACGAAATGGTACTAACCGGTACTAAATGAAGCAGGAAGGGTCTGGGATGGATTTCACTTTCCTAATAAGTATTTGAGATTGTTGGGCATGTGGCCACTGTGGATGGCCTTCCTGCCCACATGTGCCCCTGCCACAATTATACCAGTGTTAGGGGTAGCATGCACAGCCCACTCTCCAGTGAGACAATTGAGTCTCTTAGCCTACTTCATGGCCTCATCTAACCACCATTACCCAGTAATGAGAGAAGCTGTGCCACCAGCCTGGCAGGAGTCAGGGCGGCTAGTGGGTGGAGTCTCGTATTAACTGATGCTGTATCATTGAGGAGTTCCCTCCCGAGGTGTACAACACCCCAGCAAGATTACCGTCCCTTCACGACCAGCTAAACCCTGCAATCCCTGCCCTCCTCCAGCCCCTCCCTACCAACAAGCAAAAACATGTACAGAGTTCCAATGCAACACAGCTCAAGGGCACTTGTCTCACAGTTGTAGTGTCCCTGCTGCTGAACTAGAAGGCTTGGCTTCAAATCCCGCCTGCTTCAGAGATGTATCAAAGCACCTCTGAACAGGCTAATTAAAAATGTTCTGCCCTCTTGTAGTGCAGTTGTAGCATCCTGACCTCCAGACTTGGAGACCCAGGTTCAAGTCCCACCTGCTCCAGAGGTGTGTATGACAAACTCGCTTTCCCTTCACAAGATGTCTCTGGGGCTATGACCGATTATCAGCACCATTTCAACGAAAGTAACCTTGTCACGTGATTTATTGATAGCGCATTTTTGGTACCCTGGGACCAAGTCCCATTAGGACACAGTCCAATTTCTAAACGATGTAAGGATTACCTGGAGGCTCCAAGAATTAAAGATTAATCCCCAGGCCATCAGGGAGAAACCCTACGAAAATAAGCAAAGGAACATGGGACCTAATTTCTGTTTTTCATCTTTCTCTTTGAACACTTATTTATTAGTTATAAGAAATTTGGAGATACTGAGGGAAATTGGGTGGAGCTGTTTGAGACTGGAAGTCATGATAAATTCTCTTGGAACATGTCAAATTAGCATTAGCAGCTGTAATAACTCAGTGGAACAGAGTGAAGTGGAACATTGTTATTGTTGAACACCAAATTCAAGCCGCTACTTGTAAAGTACATATGCTAGTCCCAACAAAGGACAGGGAGTTCTGCAGACCTATCCCTGAGTCAGATTCATAATCGGGGTCAGGTGATGAGTTCCATTTAGATATGTAATTGCCAATGAAACTCATATTCAACAAGCTCCATGGGAGATTAATTGGTGATTTCCCCATGAGTCTTGAAGGGGTTAGTAGATCTTAGAGTCTGAGGGTTATCCCTCATTCCTGTGATGATGGGGACTCTTGCATGACTTTGCCCATAG